AACCAGATTTGGCACAAGGAAAGTATTCAATAGTTTGCGAATTCCTGCTCTAATCAACCTTGACACATCGTCAAACTGAACTAAGTATTTAGGTCACTTCCACCTGTTGGGTCAAAAAAGTATCACGGAATTCTTTATCAAATACCGATTAACTTAAGGAAACATTATGTCAACAGACTGCCAAGAGCCATCAAGGTAGTTACCAGATCAAAAAAGTAATGTCAATTTTGGCACAACTTACTTTTAGTAAATTCCTGTTGACTTCTATTGATATCGTCAATATGCACACCAGGCATCACCTACTTAGCAAATCATTCTAGAATTTTGACTGATTTGTACATCAAATTTACTGATTTATAAAATATTTGACCTTCATCAAATTGGGGGTACCATTTACAAAGTCTCCTTACAAATTCCTTTGATATCTTTTTATTACTGCTTGGTCTGCCTTACTTAATGCTGCTTAGACATTCATTTCTCTTTATTATACTTCATATTTTCCAGAGAGAAAAATCATTCTTCTTAATGGAGAACTGAGAAACATAGTTATTTAGTTCTACATTCTGTTTTTACCTATCATTTCAAATCATCCCCGAAGTGGGGTTCTAATGCTTCCTTAACTATATTTTCATGGTAAACAAACATTTTGCTATATTTCACATTTGTTGGAAATCAGCCTTAATTCAAATAAGTATTTATTGACTTATGCAACATTTTTATTCATCCTAGATTGTACCTATTTCTATGTAGTATCTTTTACACACACACACACACACACACACACACACACACACACACACACACAAAGTACTACTGAACTCCATAGCTATTTCTTCTTCTATCTTACTGAAAATATTGAAGACTTGAAAATATTAGCAATTGTATAGTCAAAAACTTCATTTTTAGTGCCTCCTTCCCATAACTTCTGAAAATATCTTTCGTAAAGTCTAGATACAGTTTTTGCCTCAATTACCTTCTTTATAATTATCAACTTTTGAGGCTAAGTACTTTTTTCATGTGTTTATCACTTTCGCATCACTAATTAGATCTTATTTGGGGTTTAGAATTATATTCAGAATAGAAATTTCCCTTTTATATCCTTCATTGAGTGAAAATGTGGCCAGCAAAACAAGACAAATATGTTTCACTTTTAGTAGAATTACGACTTTTAGCAGATATATAGGTTGATGAAATACTTCATCATTACTTGTCCCTATGATAAGATTCATAATTTTTATTATGAAAACATTGTACATATTTTAGTCAATAGTTCAATTGTATTTTAATAAGCTATAAAACATTTAAACTTAACCAGTAATATTTTATCTTATAAAATAATTTCATAAGCGATACCTTATTCTTTATGAAAATATAATAGGGTAGGAAAATAATTTCTCCATTCAAACTGATCTATTAAAAAAGACAGAAGAACAATTTGATGGCATTTGGGCTACACTTCAAGAATATATTATAAAATATACACTTTAGCAAGAATATCATTTTTATATCAATGTGATTAAAGAATTTTAGTGCAAATTATTCTATATTAAATTTTACTTGAAATATAAATAATTATGTTTTAGAATTAAGGCAAAAATATTAAGATGTTAAGGTATATTTAAAATACAATTCTAAGTATTATTAAAGTGAGCATAGTAACAATAAGTAAATATATTAAACTGATAAAGGAATTGCTTAGGCACAGGGGAACTAACTGCTCAATACAAAATGAAACAAATAATAATATGAATAATATAAGGTTTATTACAGAATCAAGTAGGATGCAGTGAAATTCTGGAAAAACTATTTTAAAACTTACATTGTAAAATTGGTCTTTATCCTTGGATAAATTTAGGCATTTAATTTCTAGCAATTTTATGTAAACTATGATGGGGTATCAAGGAGAAAAGAATAACTAATTTTAGGAGCAATAAAATTTTTACTATAGGTTTATGGTAAAATTGTTACAAGCATATGTCTCCCCCCCAAAATTTCTTCTCTATCATGATAATGTTCTAACCTTCTAACACAAAATACTAGTTACTTTGTTTTATAAAGAAACTGGATTGAGACACAAACATTTCAATAGCTGTTTTCATATACATATAAGATTAAGTAATGAGCATATTCTTTCAGATATAGTGTTTTAATAAGCTCTTTTAAAAATAAAGGAAAATAAAACAATAATTTTACAGACAAAAAACAAACATGCCATGGCTTTATCAACATGGAATAAATAACTTAAAAAAGAACGAAGTTTTTTCACAGATTGAGAATATAAGCTAGAAAGGCCATACATTCACTAAGTCAGCATACTTTAGTGAAGCAATGAAAAGCAGAAGAAAAAAAAAGGAGACAAAGATACTAGAATGGTATGGCTGGGACAATTTCTGCTGAAGACAACACATGACAAAATGATCATACACAAAGATGTAAGCATCAAGCGTAAGTGATAATAAGGTCTATATCCCATCACTATTTTTTTTCTTCTCTCGTGAATTGGGACACAGGTAGTATTAGCCAATGATGTCATGAGAACAACTGAGAAATGAACCTCAGAGAGAATTGTAATTCTAAGACACTGAGCTAGGAAGTATACACCAGAGCTTTCCAGGATTCCACTGCACAATAGCCTTCTTCTGCAAATGGGTTAAATCTGCCCACGGTAGGGTTCCCTTAATCCCTGGTCCAGCAGGGCAGGTCCTGGGGAGACGGGAGCCTGCAGGCCAGCTACTCCTGGAGGCCTCATTTATATACCCCTACGTGGCGAGATCCAATGCCATTTTCTGTGTGTGCCATGAGGTTAAAAAAAAAAAAAGTGAGGTGTGCTGGTATAGTAGACAGTTAACTATACATGTGTTCTACGAAGTATTAATATTAAAACATTTAAAATTAAGACTAATTACCTAGCAAACACAGAAGAACGTTATAAAGAAAATTCTGATTGGATCTGGGTTTGTACAGAATCAAGGTTTTTTGAGAACAATATTATTTTCATACAACTGAAATTCACTTTTGCATCAACTTTTTCACATGGGAAATGATTCCTTTGAATCAAATAGCTGAAACAATGAATTGTTGGTCTCATGATACCAAACAATAAAAGGGGTAAAACTCTGAAATTAACTTTTGTCTATGATAATAAGACAAATTTTTCTGTCATTATAATTTAGCTGAAGAAGTATGACCCTGTGGTTCTTTCTCAACTCTAAATAAAATCCTAAAATAGTAAGAACAAAAGCAAAACCTAATAATACAAAACAGCATTAAACCTTTTGCTACTTTGACAGTTTACATATACAGACTAAATCAGACAAGCTATTTATTTAACTGAAGCGCTTATATTTCTATAAGTAACTCAGCATTCACAGAACTCCTAAAACTCAGGATGGTTTTCTTTTTACCTCCTGAAGGTTGTCGAGATTTCCGAGGAGACCGGGGTTCTCTTCGGTAAGGATCGTTGGAGCCATATAATTCAATGGTGCCCAGGTTGAGAAGTACCGCTTTCTGGAGGTAGTCAACCATCGCGATGCCATTACAATTGCCGAAAACTACCCTGGGAATAGGAAAAGAGCAAATATTTTAGCACAAATAAGTAATTACAAGAAAATGTAGTCCATAAGGCCAAAAAAGCAGCATGACGGGTCTTAGAGAAAATTCCTCTTTGTAACAAGACGATCCCAGACACAAAAATACGGGTTGCGCATGTCTTTTCAGGGAATCGTGTAAATCTTCTCAAGACATTAATGATTACAAATCAATAATTAAAAAAATTTGACACAGGAGTTGCAACTTGATTAGAGACATAAATCTCCAAGCTAGGTAACATGCGTCTATCTTTCAGACTTAGGGGAATTCTGAGCCCCTCAGCCCCCTAGGGAAGCAGAAGACTATATCTTTCGGAAAGTTTTGTGATCAACTATAAATATTAAGATCATTTAAGCCAGGGGTTGAAAACTGAAATGTATAGAGGGGCTGTATGTATTTTGTCATGTATAATGTGCTCCCGTGTATAATGCGCACCCACATTTTTGGCTCAAACTTTCAGAGAAAAATAAAATCTTTTGTTTTAATTTTTTAATTCAAATTTTTATTTGTTTATATTTAGGTACTTGTTTTTTTGTATTATAAAGGAATTTTAGCATTTATTTTTTAACATATTATGGTACAAGAAATTTTATGTAAGGGCCGGCCGAGTGGCTCAGTTGGTTAAGAGCTCGCTCAAGAGTCTGAGCTCTGAGCAACAGCGGTTCGATGCCAGCCCGAGCTGAGCAGCCGCTAAGCTACCAATAGGTAGCAGGATGGCTCAGCTAAAAAAAAAAAAAAAAAAAAAAAATTTATGTAACAAATAATTACAAAACACAAAAATAGATACAAGGTACAAGAAATTTTATGTATCGGTAACCAATTTATGATATTTACTCATCATAGAAGGCCAAGAACTCTTAGTCGTTGCAAGTTCGCCATGTTCAACAAAAACAATTATTGTATTCCAGGGTATTATTTTGCATATGGATATCATTATTGATTTCTAGAGTTACACTTTTAACTCAAAAGCATAAATAAAATAATTAGAAACATTTACACAGATACAGAATTAGTACAATCCATATATAATGTGCATCCTAATTTTTCCCTCACAAATTTGGGCAAACAAGTGCTCATTATACATGGCAAAATACGGTAAGTAAGTAAAACAGGCAGATAGGATGGTGGAGAATTAAATCATATATGATTCATCTAAAGAGGAAAAACTTCAACTTGGTCCAGATAATCGGGTTATTCAGTTGGATTTTCACATTAAGTAATCTTGGCAACTAATTCAAATTTTAAAAATACATAATATACTTTTGGCTAAACAAAATACAACTGTGAGCCAAATGAGGCTGTGATCTTATTCCATCTGTTTCCTTTATGGTCTTGGGCAGTAAAATATTAAAAAGGAGAAGGTCTGTGTTCTTACATCACGGGGCAGCAAACCAAAGACATGAAATAAGACTATTCAGACTATAGCCAGTCTTAGCTGTGTGCACAACTAGGAGAGATAGAGCAGGTGGCAGTAACTACAAGGAGGGAGAAGAAAGATGAATGAGTCCCTGGGGCTAGCTGGCATCAAGGAAAGAAACAGCGAGTGACCTATACACGAATAGCCCTGGAACTGAGCAGTTAGTATATCGTTTCTCTTATTCCACAATGCCTATTTTAAAATAAACAAACATATACTTTATATTATTATATTATAAAACTATATTATAATAAAAAGTATGTATAATTAACACTATATGGCATGGATTAATACATGCAGCTGTAGTATACACAAATGCTTTATTAAACTATTACCATGACTTTAAAAATCTATGCAAGTTAACTTTGGAAGTAGAAAGAACGAATTATATAGCTATGGTAACCACTTACAGAATCAGCTTAGAACATAGTCTTCTGTGTTAATGTTGTTAGACCTCCATTATACAAATTAATGATAGGGAATTATTCCTGAGAATATATCCAGGAGAGGGTATAGTGACTTTAAACCTTAATCTCAAATAATTAATTCGTCCATGAGTCATTTAACTTTATATCAGGAAGCAATATATGCATACCTAGAGTAAATTATTCAGAACAGTATTATGTTCCTTCCAAATAAACACTGGATTTGGTCTGAAATTAAAATTATACAACAACTTTTTAAGTGATGCTATAATAAAGATCATCCTTTCCATTAAAAAAAAAAAACCTGTATGGAATACTGTGAAGAGGCTGAGAAACAGTTATACTTACAGTCCATAGGAAGAATTGACTGCCAGGCTGGTTATCTGTTGTGGTGGTTCTCCGCCTACCCATACCAACTGAATAACTAGTTCTGTCTGATAACCGGGTGACTGTTTCAGTGGTGAATTTTTAACTCTGTAATAAATGAAAATATGTTACCTTTTAATCTTCAGTATCTCATTAGCCTATGTAATTATAGTCATGCATAAATACCTATACAAAAAATAACTTTAATATACAAAATATAAGTTCCACATACAAAATAGGGGTGGGTAACAGGTGGGAGGGGGAGTGGGTAAGAAGGGGAGCGAGGGACGAAAGGAGGGCAGGAAGGGTTAGGGAGAAGAATGCGGAGAAGCAGCAACCCAGGAATTAAGAAGAAAAAAGATGCATGTTAGAACAGCAGACTTAAAACTTAAAAATACACTTTAACTAAATGAAAACAGGCCAAAAACATAACGAGTTAAAGAACAAGTTAAAAAAATGTGAGCAATTTATTTTTGTGTGTGGCTATACTATAAAAAACTCTATTCTGACTTTAAGGTGAGAACATTTTTGATTGCACAGACTTTTCTCCAGCAACTGCTCTTGTAAAACATGCAAAGCTTGGTTACTTGAGCAATTCCTGAAGCTTCTGCCTTGTTGTGATTGTGTGAAAGGATGGCAGGGGGCCTACTCAGTGTTCAATTTCCTGACATCAAACTCAAGAGGCAAGAACCTTTCTGAATTATTCAGTTGGTACTTCTAGTGAAGACCATGCCAGTTGACCTCTTGCTGCGATATTTGGTAGACTCACCCTAGGTGAGAAAAGGCAGTATGTTGTTCAAATTTCAGGGTAAACGTGAACCACTGAGGGTACCCCTAATATGAATAAGGTTACAGGCACTTCTGCCTGTGTAGTCTGCAAGGCAATACACTCAGAACTGTACACAGGCTGAGGCAGAAGTTCTGATTTTTCTCAGAAAAATACCCACTATTCAGCTGCAGCTGTCAATCTCAAGAGCTAGAAATAAAGACTGAACAGCATTGCATCTCCCCCACAGACAGCCTCTGTTGACATAAGCATAAGCCGAAGAGTCTACTGTGCTATTTGCTCCTTATAGGAATTAGGTGAGGTTCAAGAAAGTGTCCACCTTTCCTCTTGGCATATTTAATGTGCACATTAGAATAGATTCTCAAAAGGAGGAATAGCCATTCAGGGATAATTTCAGAAGTGCATATATGGGCACATTTAAGTACTTAAGTGATGAAGACGCACACAACCCCTTGAATTCTTACCTTATCCAGCATGAAGAAAATAAAAAAGTTCTTAAAAATAAGCCAGCTAAACCTGCAGCATGATCCCCAATTGTTAAAAAACTAGAAACCAGATCAAGAAATGACAGAATATGTTAAGATTTAAAAAATATAAAGTGGGAAGTGGGTGGGTGTTATGTTTGATGTCTACAATGGTTACATAAAAGTTATCATTTTAATGTTTTTTATGGAATTCAAACTTTACTTTTCAAAGACAAAGGGTTGAACCTTTATAAAAAGCTCCTTAATTTGTACAAATGTATATTTAAATGTCAAAATAATGTTTGGAGGCTTTTCAGTTTCAAAATGATTCTCTGTTTAGACATACCCTGCAAAAGCACTATTAAAATTCTTAAATAAAAACAAAATTTTATTGGTAAAAGGAGTAAACCAAATAGTTGCTTTTAAAATGTTTTTTTTNCATCAAACTAGTGATTCTGGGAAAAAAACACACCCATTTTTATAGTTCTTAGATGACAGATGTAATAATAGGTATGCATTTAATTTTTGACAAAATATTTTTTTATATAAATGACAGCAGGTCTTTAAATAGTAGTGATATATGGTAATAACTTAAGTATCCATCAATGGATGTTTGGATAAAGAAAATATGGGGTAGTGTTACCATACCTTCTTTTCATTGAAAAGAATGAAATGTTGCCATTTTCAAGTATATGGATAGACCTCAAGGGCATTATGTTACGTGAAGTTAAGTAAAACAAAGGAAGACAAAAACCTTATGATCTCACTTATACGCATGTGGACTCTAAAAATAATAACAGTAAAATAAATTTAAAAACCAAGCTCACAGATACAGAGAACAGATTGGTAGTTGCCAGAGGCGAGGGGGTGGGGGATGGGAGAAATGGATGAAGGGTATCAAACTTTCAGTTATAAAGTAAGTAAGTCGTGGGGATATAAGCTCAGCATGGTGACTACAGTTAATAATACTGTACGGCATATTTGAAAGTTGCTAAGAGAGATCTTAAAAGTTCTCATCACACACACAAAACATTTATAACTGTGTAAGGTGAACTAGGCTTACTGTGATCATTTTACTTGTGTACAAATAGCCAATCATTATGCTACATACCTGAAATGGATATAATATTATATGGCCATTATACCTCAATAAAAAATAAATAGTAGTGATAATACACTCGAGTACTACAATGAGCCTAGTACTGAATAAAAATACTCAATTTTGAAAATTTAAGCCTTTGGTATTTTGCCAACTTCTATTAAAGACTATAAAACATTCTATGTGATATAATTCTCATTCTTAAAATAGCCCACAAAGAAACATTTAGGAAGCTAAATTAAATAATGTGAGAGAGACTCTTTAATTTAGGCATTATATTACTGAGTAAGCTAAACCACCGCCCCTCAATACCTTCCCTCTGATTCAGGGTAAGAGTCCAAGTCCCACCCCCCATGACTGGCTGATGGAGATGACCGTATGGCACATGACTGGCATAGATTATGTGACTATGGTATATCCCATACCTCTCTGGCTGTATTTCCTCCCCTTCCACCTACTTCCCCAACTCCCTCACTGTTTCGACTCCAGACACAAATACTCCTCATTATACCTTGAACTTGCCAGGTACACTCCTTCAGAGCCACTGTACTTGCTGTTCTCTGCTGGGAATGTTCTTTCCACAGATATCCTCATGGATAACAGTTCTCTCACTTCCTTTAAATCTTTACTCAAAAGTCACCTGAATACTCTATTTAAAATTTAACACCCCTGTCACAGATATTTCAAATCCCCCTTCATTTAATTATTTTTTCCATTTAGTACTAGTATGCAATTTGCTATGTATCACTTATCTTTTTAACTGCCTGTCTTTTCCAGTAGAATGTGAGTTCCACAAGGACAGAGGTTTTTGTCTGTTTTATTAGTGCATAGCCCATGGTAGGTGTTCCATAAATATGTGTTGAATAATTGAATAAATATATGTGAAAGAATTTCATAGTATCACATCTAATCTATCTCCTATATTACTGCCAGATCCCCTTCTGCAAATATTCCTAGCAATATAATTACCTTGGCTTTGCCCAAATGTATCCCAACCCAATTAGCTAGCTGGTGATCACCAACATATACTAAATGCTTATTATGTGCCAGATACTGATCTAGGTGCTTGACTCATTTAACTTGCACCACAGTCAATGAGGCAGACAGTATTTTCCTCACTTTGCAGAAGAAACTAAGGCACTAAGTGTTTTAAGTACCTTATTCAGTGACAAAACCAAATTACTTCTAGAGACAGTCAACTCATTGTCACTGGCAGAGGTTATGTATACATCTTCTCTTTCAAATGTTTAAATAGGAGGCTTAATTTACTATTAAAAATGGTAAAAAAATATATACAATCATATGTTGTTCAATATAATATATTCACTAACTGAGGCATACTACATCAAAGTTAGTATCAGGCCATGAGTTGACCCACTAGGTCCTATGGTTTAATTCAAAGATTGGCAAACGTTTTCTGTGAAGGTCCAGACTGCTTTTTGGAGCCAATCTTTAGCAACTACTCAGCTCTAATGTTGTAGCATAAAAGCAGCCATAGATAAAACATAAGCAAATGAACATGGTGCTGTTCTAATACAAAAATAGGGAGTAAACCAGATTTGGCACAAGGAAAGTATTCAATAGTTTGCGAATTCCTGCTCTAATCAACCTTGACACATCGTCAAACTGAACTAAGTATTTAGGTCACTTCCACCTGTTGGGTCAAAAAAGTATCACGGAATTCTTTATCAAATACCGATTAACTTAAGGAAACATTATGTCAACAGACTGCCAAGAGCCATCAAGGTAGTTACCAGATCAAAAAAGTAATGTCAATTTTGGCACAACTTACTTTTAGTAAATTCCTGTTGACTTCTATTGATATCGTCAATATGCACACCAGGCATCACCTACTTAGCAAATCATTCTAGAATTTTGACTGATTTGTACATCAAATTTACTGATTTATAAAATATTTGACCTTCATCAAATTGGGGGTACCATTTACAAAGTCTCCTTACAAATTCCTTTGATATCTTTTTATTACTGCTTGGTCTGCCTTACTTAATGCTGCTTAGACATTCATTTCTCTTTATTATACTTCATATTTTCCAGAGAGAAAAATCATTCTTCTTAATGGAGAACTGAGAAACATAGTTATTTAGTTCTACATTCTGTTTTTACCTATCATTTCAAATCATCCCCGAAGTGGGGTTCTAATGCTTCCTTAACTATATTTTCATGGTAAACAAACATTTTGCTATATTTCACATTTGTTGGAAATCAGCCTTAATTCAAATAAGTATTTATTGACTTATGCAACATTTTTATTCATCCTAGATTGTACCTATTTCTATGTAGTATCTTTTACACACACACACACACACACACACACACACACACACACACACACACAAAGTACTACTGAACTCCATAGCTATTTCTTCTTCTATCTTACTGAAAATATTGAAGACTTGAAAATATTAGCAATTGTATAGTCAAAAACTTCATTTTTAGTGCCTCCTTCCCATAACTTCTGAAAATATCTTTCGTAAAGTCTAGATACAGTTTTTGCCTCAATTACCTTCTTTATAATTATCAACTTTTGAGGCTAAGTACTTTTTTCATGTGTTTATCACTTTCACATCACTAATTAGATCTTATTTGGGGTTTAGAATTATATTCAGAATAGAAATTTCCCTTTTATATCCTTCATTGAGTGAAAATGTGGCCAGCAAAACAAGACAAATATGTTTCACTTTTAGTAGAATTACGACTTTTAGCAGATATATAGGTTGATGAAATACTTCATCATTAC